TTTTACTTTTGCCTTTTTCATTAACATACACAGAAATGTCAATCATCATTCTCATTGTAACTACACTCAATTGTCTCCGATGACCCTAGGCTGACTACAGAGAGAAGCAATGGCTGTAGGAGCTGACAATAAACAGTGTTGCATATTTTATTATTATTTATAAATTGGGTGTCACGCATTCTTCGTATCAGCACAATTTGTAATAAACTCATGCAGTTGGTGAACATTTACCAGCACATCCCTGGCACTGGTGAAGGGTGGGTGGAAGGTTCGAGATGGCTATCAGGAAATGCCTCCGCTCAAGTCTGCTGGCAGAGACACCCTGTGCCTCCGGGAGTGGGCTTGTCTTAGGACCCTGACATCCAGGTCACTGGCTGGCAGCAGCCCATGGTAGGCCTGGCCTCAGTGCAAACATGGAATGAGATTCAAAACAAGGGGCCCTGGTCAATTCTCCCTGCAGTAGGAGTTCTTCAGGGCATGCCCATGGCTTCCACACTGACACCCAGTGTAGTTGGCACTGAGGCCTCAGCCTACCGCACAGAGAGCTCAAGGGCTGCCACGGCCCCTGCACAGTCCCAAATGGAGGCAAGAGGACCAGGCCCTTGTACCGTAGTCACAGGCTGTGGTCAGCCCTTGGGGAGGAGGCACATGCTTGGATGAGGCAGTTCTCTGTGCCTGGGGACAGTTCCCAGTGAGGGCCAGAGCTCTAAGCAGCTGCGAGTGGTCAGTGGCCAGGATTGCTGGGGGATAGGTTGGTCCACCCTGAAGAGGGCATTTAGCTGGAGCACCACAGTACTTATTAGACACCCTTGGAGCTTCACCATGGTCGTTAGCATTTAAAAGGCTCTGAGAAATCCTGCAGTGCATCTTGCTGAGCCAGCATTTCTCAGTTTATTTCACCAGGGAGCCATTTTGTGTGGGTGTGCCCGTAACATCCCGAGGATTAGTATTCTGGAGAACACGCTCGGGAAGTGCTGGGCTGGTGAGAAAGGAAGGTTGGATCGTAAAGGGCCGTGTATGCCACGCCAGGCAGTTTTGGTTTTATGCCGTGGGCGCCGTGGAGATGTTCGGATTTGACCTGCGTTTTGGAAAGGCGCTTTGCAAGTGTGCGGAGGATTCAGCTGGGGAGGGAGAGATGGGGGCAGCACGTCTGTTGAAGAGGCCGCCATGGCTTCCACGTGGGAGAGGATGTGGCCTTGCTTTGGGGGCAGAGAGAAGAGGGAAGTGGAGGGCTGTTTAAGACAGAATCGACAGTGCTGAGCGGTCGGTTATTTTCACATCGCTCTGTAACCTAGCTCAGCGCGGTTCTACCACAGTTCACGCCTTGTCCCATCTCCGGACTGGCTCCCTTCCTTCCTTCCTTCTTTTCCTTTTCTTCCTTCCCTTTCCTTTAATTACCTTCTTCTTCTATTATTTATGTGTCCCTGTCCTTTCGGGCTCCGATCCATTTCATCCTCCGTGTCCTCTGATCAAACACGAGGACTAACGGGGCCGCCTCCTTGATGAGGCCGCACTTGTTGCTCTGGAATTTAACGCTCCGATGGCTTTTCCAGTGTGTGGGAATCCTCTTAGGTCTAGTACAAACAAGCAGGAAATGGGAGTGGTGCAAACACTCCCAGACATGTCACTCGGATTTTTTTTTTTTTTGTTCCTCTACTCTTCAGTTTTTATTGCTATTGGAAGAATCTTGTTTCTTTCCAAGAAGCTGATCTCTTTTCGCCAACTCTATAGGAGGGTGGATTTACTAAGTTTCTGGATGCGGTTTCTCCTTCTTTCTCGCTTTGTCTTATTTCATTGCCAAAGGACACCTCTATTTAGGTTAGAAAAAATGGAATCAAGTCTGATGATCTTTTTCTACTTTTCCCGGGAAAGGAAGTTTAAATCAATAACTAAAATACGTTTTCGTGGTACTCAGAGATTTCATTTACTGACAGTCTGCCTTGTGTGAATGAATAGATGATTGAAGGTAGTTCCAGCGGGGATAATTAATGTAGCCCCAGAAAAGGAGACTCCCCTTAAGAGTACTAAAGGCACCAACAGAAAATAAAGGATCGGGGTGTCTTTTTTTTTCACCTCTAGAATTTTTAAATAGCTGGACCAGAGGAGAAGCATGTTTGCAAACATGCCAACAGAATCAATTTTGGATTTTTACCTGGAGGCTGGGAGAGCTGTTAGACTGGAGCGGAGCCCCAAGAGGAAGGAAGAGGGAGAGAAGCTGCTGTGTTTGTTGCCCCTGGCTTGTGCT